TCTTCAATTCAAATCAAATATTAATCTTTGCTAAAATCATCAAAAACCCCAAATTGATCAGCATAAGCATAAAACTCCGAGCTTCAACTTAAGACCATCCTGTTTTAAACACCAAAGCACTGTATGTATGACAGACCAGTAAGCAGTAATCTTCACTGTAAATCAATTACTAATATTTGCTCTAAACATCAAAAACCTCAAATTGCTTGACTTAAGCATGAAACTTAGAGCTGCAACTAAAACCGTCCTGAATTTTAAAAAACCAAAGCACTGTATGTATGACACACCAATAAACAGAGTTTTCACTGTGAGCACTGTATGACAGAACAGTAATCTTCACTTCGAATCAAATATTAATCTTCGCTATAACCATCAAAGAGCCCAAATTGATCGGCTTAAGAAGGAAACTCCGAGCTGCAACTTAAGACCGTCCTGTTTTAAAGACCAAACCACTGTATGTATGACAAACCAGTAAACAGAACTTTCACTGTGAGCACTGTATGACAGACAAGTAAACAGTAATCTTCAGTTCAAATCAAATATCAATCTTTGCTATAAACATCAAAAACCCCAAATTAATCGGCGTAAGAATAAAACTTCCAGCTTCAACTTAAGACCGTCCTGTTTTAAACACCAAAGCACTGTATGTATGACAGAAGAGTAAACAGAATTTTCACTGTGAGCACTGTATGACAGACAAGTAAACAGTAATCTTCACTGTAAATCAAATACTAATCTTTGCTCTAATCATCAAAAACCCCAAATTGATTGGCTTAAGCATAAAACTCAGAGCTGCAATTTAAGACCGTCCTGTTTTAAACACCAAAGCACTGTAGGTATGACAGACCAGTAAACAGAATTTTCACTGTGAGCACTGCATGACAGACAAGTAAACAGTAATCTTCACTGTAACTCAAATATTTAACTTTGCTATTATTATGAATACCCCAACTTAAAAGGTTCATCTTCCTTAAAGCAATTATTGAACACCCCATTTGAAAAATTCATATTTTAAACTTTTTTGCTCATCAAATTGTTAACATCATAAGTGGACCACTTTGATGTACTTTCTATTCTTTCTATTTGCAAATTTCAAGCAATAATAAAATCCCAATCTGATAAAAAGCATGGTATTTCTTGTGAATATTTCTTGTGAGCAATCAGGTATTTCTTGTGAAAAAGAAGACATGGCTGTTCAAAACTCTCTTTTTCAAGGACTTGAAGTAGTTGACATCCAACTCTTGTTGTTCTATTGAGCTTCCTCAAGTATTGGACAAAATGATCTTCAAATAAAGTAACATTCCTAAGAAATACTTCAGAAGGAATAATTAATCCTCCAGATGTGCTACATGAATCATATGCTTTTAAAAGTAAAAACATTCTATTCTGTGCATTAGATCCCCTGTTGCCTTGTTTACCACCATCAAAGACTGGCAAAAAGAACTCCACAAATAATTAATTCAATGTGTGATGATTGTTGGGAAAAAGGTGTTCGTTGGATTTTGGTGTCTTTGAAAGTAAGGGAGCTACAGCAATCAAAAAATCTTGTCAGCTCATTCTAAAAATTTAGCAGTACCAACTGCTTCATTAGGAAGACATTGCAAAGAAACATATGTGTGGATACTACCTTCAACAGAATGGCTTAGAACTTGACTGGCTAGCTTTACACGCATCTTTGAAAAGCCATTAGGGTTTTAAAATGTTTTTCTGTCAACTTTGGAGCAGTTCTTATAGGAATTTTGGTAAAAAGATTTGATATGATCTCAGGTGGCTTGTTTACCTTAAAGTTCAAATCCATATTTCATTAGATGTTTTCCAACTGACTTTAAAAGATAGTGTAAATGAAGAAAAGGTCACTGTAGCAGGCTGCTCGACAGGCTCCGAGGAGTTCTTGCGGTGAAAAGTCAATAAAAATGTAGCAAATATGAAACACCGCAATACGCCGAGAATAAACAACAATAAATATGCGTAAATCAGTAGAGGCTGATATTTGGAAAAATTCCACCAATTTCCATGCAAAATAAAAGCACAACAAAGTGCAAAAACCGACTTCAGACTATGAAAAAACAATGTAGCAGACCATTCTTGATTGATTCAACTTTAAATGGTATTTTCACCATTTTCTGCGAAAAGTTATTAAAGGAAAACTGAGGCGCGGTTTTGGGAAATTCGAGAATTTCCCAACATTCGGTGGGCTGAAAATGTTCTTGAAACACTTTTAACCTCTTGCAAACTATAAAAAAAACAGTGTAACAGACCATCCTCAATCGATTCAGCAATAAATGGTATTTTTACCATTTTTCTGCGAAAGGTCATTGAAGGAAAACCGGAGGGCTGTTTTCACAAATTCCACATTTTTGTCTAAGTTTCGGAGACTTTCATATTAACCGGAATTTTTATTTAATTTTGAAAATATGAAAAAACAGTAAAGCTATGGTATTTGTGATGTTTGAAAATTAAATCAGTCCTACAGATTTAGTTAGTCAAAAGTTATTAAAGGAAAACTGGAGGGTAGTTTGCGTGCGAATCGTCAGAGCGAATCATCAGGCCTATATAAATCAATGGTACCATTTGCATGAGATCGATGGAACCGGACCAACATCGCTCACAAAAGTCGGTAACAACACAGTACAATATAATTTATAAATACATACTTGACAAACGTAAAATATAGTTCGACAGTAATTTCAAATGTATCCAAACAAAATTGCATCAAATTGTTTTTCGTTATTAAAATCGTAGACTTCTATTTGGCGCAGGAGAGCCTGAGGTGTAATTCAATCTCGGCTAGGTTGACCCTGTCTTGTTTTTAGTGAAAAAGATCATGTGCAGAAGTTTCTTAAAAGACTTACCTCTAGCAAACCAGGGTGCATTCCATTTGAATATTTATTATCTCAAGCATTCTCCACATCTCGCCGCGAGTGACCTCGTGGGATCAAAGCGCCATTTTGATTTTTACACCTTAAACACTATGCAGCCTCTTTTTGATCGCTTCTTAGTTTGCCCAATGATATATAAGTGAGGCAAAATCACTCATGCGGTAAAAGGGCAAAAAGACGATTCCGCATAAGGGCTCAGTATGGGAAAATCCGAAGCTGGCAAACGAAACGAGAAATTTTAGAAAATCTATTTAATTTAGGAAGGTAACATATATTTTGTCAGCTTACCGTATGCATTTAGAAGGTTTTAAGCCATCATTTTTGTTTGTACACGGGTTTTGAGATTTTTAAAATATTTTTTTACCGTGGCGTTGATAAGGGCACTCTGGTTTAGAGAATATTTATATTTCTAGGAATTTTTTTTTGGGCTTATTTACAAAAATGTCGCACTTATACAAAAATCTTGTGTTAATTTTTTATCGTAATATTAAGGAACCGTTGTAAAAGAGGTCATCTTCAATCCTGTTTCAGCCACGCCCCCTTCCTACAGCATCCTGATGTCCGTAAATAAAAGTATGATTTGCTGATGAATGTTAGGTGGGAAGGTCTTGTCATAGGAAAAACTTGAAATGGATATTTATCATAAAATTTTTCACTCCTTACATCTGAAACTTTTACCAGAAGTCATATGCAGGGGGTTGCCGAAGTAGGGGAGTGTTCATTTAACAAGTTGTCATAATGATATAAGATTAAGAGTACTTGCTTACATCTACCCTTCAACTTATAAAATACAAAATAAAGCCAATTTTGAAATTATATTTGGTTTTTTCCAAATAAACCCGAAAACAGTCTACCTGAAAAGGTAAACATTGCCTAGGCCAGAGTGGACCGCGCGAGCGCCGCAGCAATAAATATTTTAAAAATCTTGAAACCCTATTTAACAACACAATTTATGGCTTAAAACTTTTGAAATTAATACGGCAAGCTAGCAAAGTATAACTAACCTTTCAAAATTATGCTAATTTTCGATAATCTTGGTTTTTCTTCGTCAAATTTGCAATGTCCTGTACTGAGCCCTTATGCGGAATCGTCTTTTTGCCCTTTTACCGCTTGAGTGATTCTGCCTCACCAGCTCAATGGGCAATTATTCCCAGTTAGACATCTACCGCCTTCGGCGCTTCTATTACATTGAGTTTGCCCTTTTGTCTTTCACTTCAACCCTAAATATCTCAAAAGCGGTGCATTTTAGACCCTTTATTTACAGTTTCAAATAATTCAGTGTAAGAGAGAAGGCCAATGATTCAGAAAAAAAAATTTCAAATTCTCCTAAACAAACAGAAAAATAACTGAGAAATATTTTTTTCATTGGTGGCCAGCCCTGATCAATATTTTACAAAATTAAAGTAAACTTACAATTTTTGAAGCATAGGGATATAACCCTATAAGCCCGTGATTCCTGGATCTTGAAACAGGTCATGTCATTTCGAGGTGAAAGATGCCTACGAAAAATGACCTAAATTTTGCAAAGTTTATGCATAACCCTACCCTGGGTACCAGACTCACTATTTATAAATTAAAATAGAAAGTCTGGTCTAGTGCGCCCCATTCTCATTCCGGTGTGCTGATATTAACCAATCAAGAGCGAGTGTACAGATTTCTGTACGTTCAAAGGTCACAGCGAAACAATAAACTTAGCTCTAGTGTAAAACATTGAACAGAACAAAACATAAATAAATGCTAGTGACCGTAACGATTGAGTTTAAAGATGCTGTTAAAACTGTACTCAAAGAATGTTTCCCGCATGTTGTGGAACTTAAAGGCATTGAGTCATGGTAAATAGGCTTTCTCTATAGGGGGTCATTTGGTTTCGGCGTGATCGCTGCTGTTTCATTTGATATTGGCATCCGTTGTTGACAACTTGCTATAGATCGTTTTCACCCACGTGACCATGCGCATAGGAATGGTTGCTATCCGCCATTACGGTGTTCCAAATAGAGGCACCTCAAGTCAAGTTCCGTGTGTGTAAGTGCCTACTACCATTGATTTCTGGCTTTTAACTCGCAATTCTCGTTGTTTCTTGTATCGAAACTAAGTTGGATTCATTCTGAGAAAGGTGAAGAGATGGTGCTTTGTTTGGTCGTTAATTGTGGTAGAAAATCGGGAAGACGCGGCAAAAAGAGAGGTACGGAAGACGACGATCATGGGCCTAACCAGACGGACAACGAAAAAAGTTCCGGCATCAGTTTTTCTAGAGTTCCAACCATCATCACGAATGAAGGTAATGCTATGGAAGACTTAACAAGAGAGAGAAGAAGGCGTTGGATTTCAGCTTTAAGTAGAGATGATTTGACGGAAAAGAAGTTAGCAAATGATCGCGTTTGTAACCTGCATTTTGTGTCTGGTAGGGCTGCCAAGAACTGGGACAGATTCAATGTTGACTGGGTACCAACTCTGAGGCTTGGCCACACAAACAAGCTTGAAAAGGACCATTCCCATGTTAAAGAAAGAGCTGCTAGGGTTACAAGCAGACGTAAACGTGTGAATGATAATCGTAAGCATGAAAGTGAAGAGAAGAGAGTAAGGGAAGATGATGGCCTGTCAATTGCCAGCATTTTTGGTATCCAAGAAGAACCAATGCCAAGACAGCGAGAAATCACATCCAATGAAGCAATAAGCATGGGAGTTACTGTTGATTCTGGCCAATGTATTCAACCAGCTGAAGAAACCAGAGTATGTGATGCTGAAACAAATACTGATGAGCTCAATTATTTGTTCCAAGGCCTAGCCATCAAAACAGAACCATTTACACAAGAGTGCTTCATTAATGATGATACCAAGGTCAGGTTTTACACTGGACTGCCATCATATGATGTCCTGCAGACAACTTTTGATTTTGTAAAGCCTCTTATTGATGGAAAATCAGCTACATTGCAGAGCTTCCAGCAGTTCATATTAGTTTTGATGAAATTGAGGTTGAATGTACCCCATCAGGATCTTGCCTACAGATTTGGTGTATCTGTGCCAACAGTTTCAAGAATATTCAAGAAATTGATAAACATTCTTGATAAGAAACTAAGTCCAATTATTTCATGGCCTGAGAGGGAAGACTTATGGCGCACTATGCCCAAGTGCTTTCAGTTTTCTTTTGGCAAAAGGGTAACAGTGATAATTGACTGTTTTGAAGTGTTTATAGAGAGACCATCTAACCTGTTGGCAAGAGCACAGACATACTCTAATTACAAGAGCTACAATACTGTCAAAGTGTTAATTGGTATTACTCCACAGGGTACAATAAGTTTTGTATCTGAAGCATGGGGTGGACGGACTTCAGACAAGTTTTTGACAGATAATTGTGGGATTCTAAGGTTACTTAATCCAGGAGACTTGGTGATGGCAGACAGGGGCTTCACTATACAAGAAAGTTTGTTGTTTTATCAAGCAGAATTGGCTATCCCAGCATTTACACGAGGTAAAGATCAGCTTGACCCCATTGATGTTGAGAAAACTAGGGGTATCGCAAATGTGAGGATACATGTAGAACGAGTGATAGGACTGTTGCGCAGAAAATACACAATCCTTCAGAGTACACTCCCAATTGACTATCTTATTTGTTCAAGCGGAAGTCAAAGCCCTCTCATTTACAAAATCTTACGTGTGACAGCTTCTTTAACAAATCTTTGTCCTTCAATTGTTCCATTTGACTAGACAAAACAGCCAAACACATAAGTCTGATCTCTTAGAACTAAGAAAATAATCCAACCACCAGAAGGTTTGCCCTAAGGCTAAGCTAGATTTTGTAATCTGCACAAGTGCATGCCAAATATATATTTCTCAACAAGTTTTAAAATAGCTAAAGCAGAAGACAGTTAAACCAAAACAAGTTAGGGGTTTTGTGACAACATTTTGTTCTATATTTGCAAAAATCAACCATTGGCAAATATAACTTAATGTGAGTTTGACTGTTTAAGCAATTCAGTACGGAACATTGAAGGACTTACAACAAAAATATTTTCTTGTTCATAGTATGTCTGTAAATTATAAACTTATGGTAAAATTCCAGTTTTCTTAGCAACCTCTACAAAACAGCAGGGCAGTTGAGAGGGGGGGGGGCAAATTGCCTTTGGACCTTGAGGTCTAGAGGGCCTCATAAAATAATGAGTTCCATTTTTAGAATGGTATTAATCAAACATGAAAAATTATGGCTAAAAATGGAACAACTTATAAAAATTTGTTAGGAAATAGCTGCTAGAAATGCATTTCAAGCTAATAAAAAATAATGAAATTGTTATAATAATTGTTGTTGTCAGGAATCCTATTGTGAATTTTGAGGAAGGAAATAAGAAGTGTTTTTATGCAAATTCACTTAGTTTTAAAAAACCTGAAGCTGAAGTTTTGGGAAAGTTTTCAAAGCAACTATTAGATGGCTGGTCCACAGTAAAACGTGTTTTAGTAAAAGGAGCAAGAATGTGTTGATGTATGTTCATGAACATGAGTAGGAAAGTTGAGATATATTAACTGAATGTTTTTCAAATTATAAGTATTTCAACACAAAAGATTTTTTTTAAAATAACAAACAGTCTTCAAATTGTTGGGAACAATTCCATTTGTCCAGCTTTCAAACATTTGAAAAGATGTTTTTTCAATTGAGTCACATCAAATTCAACTGTTTCTGGTGGTATATAGTTCACTAGGCAGGTTGCAAAGGCTGTTGCAAAGACACCACAGTCATACCCATTTTGTTGTTGCTGGACTGGGACAACATTTAACCCTTTGAAGATATCTGCTCCAATAAGACTCTTTATTTGTTCTTCATTTTCATTGGAAACAACATGGTTGTACAGGCTATCATATAAACTAACCATCCCTGGTAAACATCCAATTGAGCTTATGCATACCCAGTGACTGTTTCCAGTGTGAAGTATCTGGACAAACTCCCCTCCAACTATGCTGAAGTTTCTGAATGGTCCTAAGGTTGGCCTTTGAAAGCCTTCTATAGCTGGATTACTGTTTCTTAGATAAACATGTACCTGATGAATTATATCACAGTCAAGCCAACCATTTGGAGACATAACCAATTCAAAATGTCTTTCATTTAAGGTTTGGTATTGTGCATACCGCTCTGCTTGCCCTCTGGCTTCTTTCATTAAAACAAGGTCACTTGACTCTTCAAGAAACATTTCCCGATCTGGACTATCCTTGATTAAGATAGAATTTTCAAAATCATCTGTCTCCCACTCATGTTCCTTCACTCTGGACTGCTGTGACAGTGTTATTCTTCCAACTTTAGACTCAACTTGATTTTGTGGATTTGCTTTGCATTTGTCACATTGCCAAGTGGTCTTACTGTTATTTGGTTTCCTTCTGTAGCCAAGACAACTTATGTGGAAGAACTTTCCATTTTCACAACAGGGATTATGGCATTCAATGATTTTGTCTTCAATCTTTGCCTTTTGTTGGCAAATGCAAACACTTTCAAGTGCAAGTGCATTTGTTGTGGCAATTTATTTTGCTTTGGGCTGTCTTTTGAAGTCAGGTAATCTTTGACAGTGGGGACAATACCAGTTATTGGAAAACTCTGTCACTTTAAGACACAAAGGATGATAAAATAAAATTGGACAGTCCACAATCTGACATTTTACTGTAGCCTCCCCAGTTTCTTCACCACAAAAACATATCTTTGTTCCACTATTCAGTTGTGGTTTCGACAAGTAGCACTTGCGTGTGTACCACCTACCAAGAATTTCTGGGAGTACACAATATTGCCAAAACTGAGACAGTCTTGGTAAAACTCTGTCCCAGTGATCTTGGTCAGGGGTTATTCTTTCATGAATGAAAGCAGATTGTGATGCTTCAAAGCCGAAGACAACAAAATCACAAAAAGGAAGCTCTGTGGTGAACATCTGCTGTCGCACTTGGTAAAAGTATTGATGGCTTTTTTTCAGGATCACTTTACCATCTAGATCTTTAACTAAACAGCTGCTTGGATTTTCCAAGTATCCCTCAAAATCAATACTTTCAATACAATAGGGACATTTCACTTCCCCACATCCACTTCCACAGCAATCACATGTCGATAAAAAATCAGGTGTTGTGTTAATGAAAGGGCTGTGTTTGTTGATAAACATGCCACATTGAATTGCTTTGTAATTCACATGCTTCTTCTTCATATCAATCTCAAATAGCTTAATTGCTGACTTCTCATGTTGACATCCATATTCAGTGGAAGCATTTGTAAACTTGAAAATTTCTGGATAGCAAATTGACTTTATCAGTGATTGAGATGGCTGGCTGGGATCTGTGTGACTTGCTGACTTACTCATAGATGCACCAATTCTTCCTGCTCGATGATGGAAAAATCCACTGCCCTTAGCCTGGCTTCTTGTATCCAACTCAATTTGCTTTGCATCTTCACTTGAGATCGTAACATGGATGTCTGAGCAGGCTTGTATGAGATCATGGTACTGATAGGAAAGGTACTTCTCATCAAAAAGTTCAGCAATTGTTGCAATGCCACTGCTATTTGATATAAATGAATTGGCATATGGGTGTACAAGACTCAGTGCTGCAGGCTTTACTTTACATTTACTCAATGCTTCATACAGTGACTTGATATCATCCTCACTTGAAACAGGGGTGTCTTTTCTGTTTGTTGGGCCATCACAAATCAGCTTCTTATTCATGCTTCCCTCTGGATCTTGCTTAAAACTGTCAACTGCTTGGTCTAAGTCCTTCTTTAGTTTCTTTGCAGATTTGAAGTTAATATCTTTGACAGGGGAATAGGATATTTCCTTGACATAAGAAGGGAGAATCCAGGTACATTTCACTTGGGTACAGGCTAATTTTCCATTGAGTCTTGTCCAAACTTCAAGATAGAAGAGCATGCTTGCAACATGAGAACAGCATTCTCCGAGACCAGCCATGCAGCCAATGCAATGTGCAGAAAGGATAGTCCCATCATTTTCTGTAATTACCCAGACTGGCACTGGGCTGACATTCATCCTTTGAGAATGCCGTACTTTCCCCATGACAACAAATCTTTTACCATTAACTACCTTTCCTTGTACCGAGGTGATAAAGCCAGATATCATATGGTTATATGCCTGCAAACTTCTGAAAGCCTTGAATTGGGTCTTCGTGTAATAACTTGTATCAAGTACGAGATATGACAACAAGTCCGTGGCTTCTACAGGCGGTAAACATTCTGGATCGAAACTGCTATCTGGGATCAACATCGGATCGACGCCGATATACGCAATCTTTTCCATGTAACGCTTCAAAACATGGTTTTCCAGCTTCTTGGCATAGTTGGACAACGATAAAGTAAACTTCTCTTTAGTTTCGGACTTCGACATGACCGATAAATGTGTTTAGTTTTCTTGTGCTATTGAACATATGGGGTCTTGCTAACGGTACGTAAACAAAAGTGGAACACCAACATGGCGGAAGCCTCGGTTTGAATTCTTTCGTTACGTCACGTGAAAACGGTCTATTGAAAAGGAAAGGTAAATGTACTAAAAATAACTGTTTAGCTCGCCAAGCAATATTGGATTTAAACTTCGACAGGAAGGGAAGGATCGCATAAAACGCCATGAAAGGCCAATGACGGAAATGCAAGTGGGGGCAATGGCGTCTCAAAAAACAGACGAGGTGGGGGACGGGGGCAAAACTACTGGCGGTATGCTGCACCCCCCATCTTCCAAAAAGCAGATTTTGTCGGGCAAATTTATGGCTGCCATTGTATCTGTCAGGCAAATCTGGAGATTTTTTTTAGGTCGCACTTTTATTGCTACTTTTGCCCTAGCTTGGTTTTTTAACTCATGGTCTTTTCTACCATCTTTTTTTCAATCTCCTCCCGGTTGGGAAAGCAAAACAGAAACGAGGCAAGGAACAGCAACATATATACATTTCTGTCTTTCGTCCACCGATCAGCTCTTTCGTCTCGAGCTCGATGCGCACATATATATCTTCGCCTCGAGATGAAGTCTGAAGTATTGATCGACAGCGAAAGTATAGATGGAAAGTAAGGTGTGTTTGATGCGAGAAGGAAATGAACACTGTGCATACCCCTCCCCCATACGTTTTGCAAAATGGAACAAAGCATGAAGGATATACCATCTCGGAATACGTTGTTTGGAAAAATCAATCAATACTTTCTTTTCCAAATGTATGAAACTTTCATCATACATTCATAAGGAGTTATGCCCCAAAATTATCTTAAGGTTTTACACTTACGGTTCAAAAGTATTGCACCCTTCGCTAAAAAATGGTCAGACAGACGTCAAAATTTTTTAACTGGAAAAAATTCGAATAACCGTAACAAGTAACAGAAAGTTTTAATCAGTTCAAGCGGGAAATAATGTAAAATTTATCTAGAAATTGTAGTTAAGATTTTAATTGCAAAAAACTTTCGAGTTTCTTCTATTTCTAAACAATATCCATGGTTACGAGAACACGAAAATCGAGCTTTAACGATAGGTGTACCTGTAAAATACCTTCAATAAAAAACTTTCCTTTGCTTGAGGGATTTTGTTATGGTGAATTTAAAGATACGTACTTTGTGCTTGGGTGTCTTAAAATGTTGAAATTGCTTCCAGAGCAACCGAAAATTGCTCTTTTTTGTTGAAACATTGTAATCTGCGTAGCTGTTTCTAAATTCCGAAATTTCCAAGCTGTGTTTTGGTGTTCCACTTTGATAAAATTGAGAC